AAGAAGAGTAACAAAATCTCAAAGTAAAAAGGACAACAGTAATTAGAAAACAAATTAAACAATAAAATTGACTATCATTAAATTATTCATTTGTTGGTCCAGCAGTTAGCGTAATGGCTATGTCGCTGGACTCTCATGTAGTCGACCGCGGTTCGTGTCCCGGACCCGGTGGCTTAAAACTCATGCCGGGCGCGTGTGCGTGCGTGCCCAAGATCCTGAGAGGAGAATGGAGGAGAAAGGATTGTGGAGTGGCCATCCCCCCGGGGGGTGATTTCTCTCTGTCTCTCTGTCTGTCTGGTGAGTGCACGCGCCCTATAGCAGAAACCTCTCCAAAAAAAAAAAAAAAAAGAAGTATTCATTTGTTGAAAATTCCTAACTAATAAATTTCATGAGTCTAAGGAAAAAAATCTTTAAAAACTATAAATATCAAAAGTAAAACTTTTTACTATAGGAGAATTCACAACTACAAGCTAGTAACATTAAAAACATCTAGCAAATTCACAGTTTTAAAAAAAGTAAATAATTTATCTTGAAACAACATAGATACAGGTAAAATAATTGAGAAAGTCACCAAAAAAGTGACTTTGATAAATTGACTTTTGCATTCAATATATATATTATTGAACACTTTTTTTTTTTTTTTTGGAGAGGTTTTCACTATAGGGTACATGTACTTGTCAGAAAGACAGAGAGAGACAGAGAGACAAAAAGCGAGAAATCATCCCCAGGGGGGACGGCCATGCTGCACTCCTCCATTCTCCTCTCGGGATCTTGGGCATGCACGTACACGTGCCCGACGTGAGTTTTAAGCCACCGGGTCCAGGTTGCGAACCGCGGTCAACTACATGGGAGTCCAGCGACATAGCCATTACGCTAACTGCTGGTTCCCTTGAATACTTTTTAAAAAAGAATTTTATTTATCTAATTTGATTTATAATTGTTATTATAATTATTAAATTTGACCAGAGAGAGTCAGAGAGAGAGAGAAAGAAAGAGGGAATGTGAGAAAGCAAGATGCCAGGTCCAGGACCCAAATTGCAGTCAGGCATGGGTAAGTCTCACACCCTAACCACCACACCACCTGCTGGCCCCTCAAACACTTTTTTTTAGCTTTAAAGAAAGAGTTAGGAGACACAAGAATGTAAAGTTCTGTGTTGAAAATGATGTATATCTGTGATTGTCATGTACTGCATGTATACTTTGAAAAACCATATTGGGAACCAGCAGTTAGCGTAATGGCTATGTCGCTGGACTCCCACGTAGTCGACCGCGGTTCGTGTCCCAGACCCGGTGGCTTAAAACTCATGCCGGGCGCGTGTGCGTGCGTGCCCAAGATCCCGAGAGGAGAATGGAGGAGATGGGATTGCGGTGTGGCCATCCCTCCTGGGGGGTGATTTCTCACTTTCTGTCTCTATGTCTCTGTCTGTCTGGCGAGTGCACGTGCCCTACAGTGAAAAATCTCTCAAAAAAAAAAAAAACCATATTGTGTGTGCTATAGAGAAGTACAATGATTAAAAGTAAATATGAAATCATAAAAGTCAAAAAAAAGAAAGAAGTAATTTTTATTTTATGAAATAATGTATTGTAAGCTTCAAAATTACTGACGGAGTAGATCTTATTTGTTCTTACCACAAAAAAAAAAAAAATGTAACTGTGTTAGGTGTTGAATAGGTCAATTAGCTTGAGTTAATTATTTCATAATGTATACATATATCAACGTATCATGTTGAACATTGTAAATATACACAATTTTTACTTGCCGATAATGCCCTAATAAAACTAGGAGGGAGGAAATTAAAACTAAAAAAAAAACTAATATGTGACTCAATTTGCATGTAATTATTGGGAAATCCAAAATAAAAAAGACTATGCCAGGAGTAGTGGTGCATGCATATAATTCCAGCTATTGAGGGGGCTAAGGCAGGAAGAATGCAAGTTCCAGACCAGCCTGGGCAACATAGTGAGACTCTGTCTCTAAAAACAGCACAAAACAAACCCAAAATGAAAAGGACTAAAGAAACATTAAAAAATAAATAAATAAAGCCAAGAAGCTATACAACTGCTTGTATAAAGTAGATAATCCTGAACTCAGCATGCGATTAGCCAAGAGTATATTGTACTTCTTTCACCTGAGGAGTTAAGTTTCCTAAAACACACATGGCAGAAGAATATGCAATTGAAGAATTCAATGTCACTTAGGAAAAAAAGATCAGAGAAAATAAGACCTAGATTGAGTAGACCCACAATTGTCCTTATAAATATTTCTAGAAATTTTGTATGCTTACTAAACTAATAAAGATAATGCAATAAAGGTAATATCAAACATAATTTACATATTAAAATACATTTGTTTTCTTTAAGATTAAAATTATGACTCACACTGTATCATATTATAAAAATTAGAGTGTAGGGAGGATTCTAGAAGATAGCAGTGGTAGCAGGAAGATACTTTTAGAATGTCCCCAAAATTTCAACATAAAAATAAAAAATGCACACTTACCTAGCAAGGGAGATGCCATGATCACAAAGGAGGTTTTCCCAGGGGAAGGCTTATCCGTTGCACTCTAGATGTGCTGACTCCTGCAATTTCCCCAAATGTGGGAAGCTCGACTGTATAATTTGTAGTAGTGGGGACTTATATTCATGCTTTCCCCTGAGGAGGGAAGAAAAAGCAATATGCACCAGCAGGTGGCATGGTGGTTGAAGTGACTAGATCCCACATGAGTGACCACATGTTTTGAGTCTTGGACTCAGTAGCTTGGAAAACATGCCAGGTGTATGTATATGCGTGCCAAAAATCCTGAGAGGAGAACAGAGGAGAAAAGACTATGACATGACCATTTACTCTGGGGTTATTTTCTACCTTTCTTCTCTCTGTTCCTGATGAGCACACATCCTCTGGAAAATTTATATATATATATATATATACACCAAAATGACATGGTCACTTTCCTATCGAAATTAGTTACAAAGTATCCTTGAGAGCTCCAAAAATATAGGCAGATAATTTTTAAAACCACTAACATCCATAAGGACTTTCATGTATCAGGAGCTAAAGAAAACATGGGACATTTTAAGGATTTGAGAACAGGAGAACCTCAAAAGAATGAATAGGCATTTATGACAAAGCACAGCAGACTAATTCGAGATCAGCAATTGAAGGTGGAAATGGTTTTGCTCAATAATGGAGGAGTACAAGGGACACATGAAGACCCACTGGGGTAAAGCAGTCTAGCTTCTATAAGCAATCAAAATAAGCACTAAGTCTCCTTTCTAGGCAAAAACCACTTGGAGGAAAAATTACAGGGCGGATAATTCAAATTTAGCAAAACAGAGACAATAGAGATGACGGAAATAAAAAGTACAGGCAATAGGTAGTGCAGAAACACAATGCAGAAGGTCACCATATGTTTGATAGAAGAGAGTTGTTTGAGAAATTAGAAAATCAGTCTAAAGTCACCTCATTTTAAAAGATAAAATTGTTTTACATAAAAATGAGAAACCTGGGGCCAGCAAGTGGCACAGTGACTAAGGCGCTGGACTCCTACATGGTCTACTCCTGTTCAAGCCCAGATCTGGTGCCTTGAAAATCACACCAGGCACATGTACATGCATGCCCAAAATCCTGAGAGGAGACTAGAGAAGATGGAATTGTAGCATGGCCATCCCCTCTAGGGAATGATTTTTCACTTTACCTTCCTTTGTCTCTTTCCACCAAGTGCACATACCCTGTGGCAAAAACCTAAAAAACAAAAACAAAATAAAACCGATTATTGAGATTAAGTTCTATTAAAACTTGTATTAGAAAAGAAAGAGAACGAAAACAAAAATGAAAGCATGTAAAGAAAACATGCACGGGATAAATCTAAACTGTAACTTCCTATTTCAAAGTAAGCTGAAAGACATGCAAGATAACATAAAAATCAAAAGATTACAAATCAGAATTATTACAAATTCAGAAATGGAATGATAAAACTTAAGAAAAAAATAGAAGTCAAAAGAGTTATTTAAAAATGAAAACTCAGTGACCAGCAAATGATGTAATATTTATGTTGCTGGACTCCCACATAGTCTACCACCGTTAGAGTTCTGGACACAGCACCTTAGAATTCATGCTGCACATGTGCCCAAGATCCTGAGAGGAGACTGGAGATTGAAGAAGGCATCGTGGTGTGGTCATTCGCTCTGGAGGTGATTTCTAGCTTTCTGTCTCTCTTTCTCTCTGGTGAACACACTTGCCCTATAGCAAAAATCTCTCTAAAGGTAAAAAAAAAAGTCAAATAGAAGGAACAAGAAAACAAATAAACTCATGATATTGCCTTAGGAGAAAAACTTAAAAGATAAAAATTCTAAAAATAAAGAAATTTTAGACAAAAATGTGTGTTAAACAAGACCACAGACTTTGTGATATGTACATCATTGTATTCTCAGCATTTAGGGTAATACCTGGCATTCATTAAATTTCTTTCTTTCTTTTTCTTTTTTTTTGGAGAGGTTTTTGCTGTAGGGTGCGTGTACTCGCCAGACAGAGAGAGAGAGAGAGACAGAAAGCGAGAAATCATCCCCCAGGGGTATGGCCATGCTGCAATCCCTTCTCCTCCATTCTCCTCTCGGGATCTTGGGCACTCATGCACATGCGCCCAGTGTGCGTTTTAAGCCACCGGGTCCGGGACAGGAACCTCGGTTGACTACATGGGAGTCCAGTGACATAGCCATTACATTAACTGCTGGTCCCTTCTTTTTTTCTTTTAGAAGTATAAAAGGACATGAAAAAGATTGGTCTTGGGACCAGCAGATGGAGAAATGGTTACATTCCTGGACTACCACATAGTTGATGGCCATTTAAGTCCCTGACTTGGTGACTTAAAACTCACAATAGGCGCTTGTGTGTGTGTCCAAGATGCCAAGATGAGTATAGAGGAGAAGGGATTGTGGTATGGCCATCCCCCTGGAGGGTTATTTCATACTTTCTGTCTCTGTCTTTCTCTGTCTCTCCAGCGACCGCACATGCCCTATAGCAAAAATCTCTCTCTCTCTCTAAAAAGAAAGTTTGGTCTGGGAGGAAGAATTACACACCAGAGAGTATCAGAAATAGAAATTAAGAGACAAAGTGCTTGATGACCAAGGAATGCTCAACTTCGTTGATTATTGATGCTAGGTTCAGTAAGATGAGGACACAGAAATAACCATTGGATTTGACAGAAAGATCATTAGTAACATTGACAGTATCAATTTCAGTAGAGTGGTGTGAATATAAGCAGCACAGAGGGGGAAATAATAAAAATGAACCTGTAACTATGTATTAAAATATCTTTGTGTGAAAGGGAGTAAAGAAATGGTGTGGCAGTTGTGGAAAATGGATGTAGACAAAGATGGAACATGTTAGAGCCTGTACTTTGTTGACAGAGTGATTGAGAATCAAAAATGAGTTGTCAAGTGGTGGGATGGGAGAGAAATGAATCTTTTTAGGTGGCATAAAGGTATTAGTGAAAGGGTCTAATGAGTAGAAGGGGCCATAGGAGGTCTAACTTTGAGAGGAGCTGAGACATCTCACTCACCATATACAAAGGAAGACTGTCTTGTGAGGAGAAAGATGAGAAAGTTTGTACATAATTGTTTCATCTTTTCAAACCAATAGCCTATCCCATACCTAATGATAGACTGCTGAAACAGAAATCTAAAGAGATGTATATGTTATCATAATTATTTACCCATACTTTTAAATATTTTGGTCAATTCAATAAGAAAAGAAGAAACACAGAAATAAGAGGAATAAATTTGACCATAAATTTAATTGAGAGATAAGCATGTATAAAAGCAATAAACATGGGGCTGGCAGGTGACATGGTGGTTAAGGCACTGGACTCCCACATGACTGACTGCAGTTTGAGTCTCAGACCTAGTGGCTTCTTTCTCACTTTTCCTAGCTCTCTTCATCTCTCTCTGGTCAATGATTAATAATAATAATGATGATAATAATAAATAATATGAAATAAATAATTCTTAAAAAATAAATAGAGATAAATTATTGGAGAATATTTAAAATGCAGATACCAATATTTCCAAATGAATGTCTAAGTTTCAGGAGAGTCTAATAAAATTCTAAATATAGACATTCTTTTTTTTTTTTTTCTTGGAGGGGTTTTCACCACCGGGCACGTGCCAGACAGACTGAGACATAGAGACAGAAAGCGAGAAATCACCCTCCATGGGGGATGGTCACGCCACAATCCCTTCTCCTCCATTCTCCTCTCGGGATCTTGGGCATGCACGCACACACACCCGGCATGAGTTTTAAGCCACCAGGTCTGGGACGTGAAGTGCAGTCGACTATGTGGCAGTCCAGCGACATAGCCATTATGCTAACTGCTGGTCCTAATATAGGCATTCTTAAAATGGGAGTTAATATAGTTTATCAAAAACAGACACAAATATCAAATAATATTCTAAAAAAATTTAATTTTAAGACTTCGAGCCAAACCAGGTATTAACACAATTATTGAAACTAGGTTACAACTTATGAGTAAAGCCAAAATAAAAATTAATTGCAAAATAATTATTCTGTGTGTCACTATTCTTCTTTGAATTCCATGGATTTGGAGTAACTATCTTCAGAATATTGTTATGCAATAACCCAGAGGATTTACTTACTGTGGGAGAATTCTACCACAAAAGAAAATGTAGAGAGGCAAGACTTTCAACAGATTAGAGAATCTAAGTAATTTCTAGACAGAAATTATAGAAATCTATGTCTATACCTAGCTAAACTATCACCATTTTAAATAGCTGAATGGCATTTTTAGCTATAAAGAGACAGGAATTTTCTTCTGCATATACTCTAAGGAATTTATTTAGCAGTGTTCTACAGAAAAGAAAAAGTTTATGGAAAAGAGTAGATCCAGACCAGAAGATCCAACCCAGAAATTTAACACAATATCCCAACCTACAACCAGTCAATAGAGCAATGAGTTCATTGTGCAGCAAGAGCATTGATGGCTTTGAGAGATAAATATCTAGGAATAAAAGGTACATGATTCAGTGTAGCATGACTGAAAGGATAAAAAAGGAGTACATTACAAAAATATTTTAAAAATAAGAAAAATCTAGAAAAATCTACATACAAAAGTCATAGTTCAAATGTGAAATAAATCAGAATGTGGCATAATTTAAAGCAAATGATAAAAAGTAAGAAAAGTCTACAAATCTAGTGATAGAATTTTTTTTTAAATGAGCATCATCTCAATTTACATGAGCAAGATTGTAAGCAGATCAAAAATCAAATTAAGAAATATTATCTAAATTTTGAAGATAATCAAGTCAGGAACTAAAAAGAATATCATCAGGGCCAGCAGTTAAGGTGCTGGACATTCCCACATGGCCAACCACAGTTCAAGTTCTGGATCTGGTGACTTGCTTTGTCACTTTCCCTCTCTTTCTCTCTCTCTCTCTGTTTCTCTCTGGTCAAATTAAAATAAGTGAATGAATAAATAAAATGAAATAAATAATTATTAAAAAAAATAATATCAGCATGCATATTTGGAAGGATGAGGGCAAAAAAAGTGTTAAAGGAAAGGAATCTAGGGCCAGCACGTGGTGTGGTGGCTAAGAGTACTGGACTCTCACATGACCACCTGCGGTTTGAGTCCCAGACACGGT